CAGACATGGAGGTTTCATATATAAAGATATCTTGGTGCATTCAGCACCTGATTTACTGAAGCAGCAGCTCATCAGACAAGTCTGCTGCCATTCTAGCTGATGTGTCCACCTGGATACATTACTGTCATAGATGATGTCACCGATGGGCTTACCTGAGCAGGTGAGATCCAAGATGGAGGAAGAGGAACATGATCTTATACACTCTCTCAGATCAGATCCAGAGTGAACACAGAAATAGTCGATCCTCCACACAGATCTCTGTGAGGACTCCTCTCTCTGTCTGTTAGAAAAAGCAGAGCCACAGTCCAGATCTCTACAGACATCAGCTGCTGTCTTCAGGGTCCAGTCATAGTCAGAGTTATAGTTAGAGCCATCTACTGGTTTCCAGTCTCCTTGATGTTTCACCTCCAGTGTTCCTGCACAGCGACTGACTCCTCCCACCAACCTGACAGCTTCTGAACAGAAACAAGAGAGTCGTCAGTAAAGAAATGAATTTAATTAATAAAATATCAAACTAAAACTTGAAGCTGATTCTGCTTCACTGGTTCTTTGTTTTTCTTTTCTTTCTCTATTTACCTGTTGATGTGTGATTTCCTTCAGCCTGGAGTTCTGGAGAAATAGACACATATTTGTTGTTTATAGTAAATGTAAAAGAAATACACAAATATTAGTTTTTAAATGTATTTGCAATCTTCATCTAAAACTTATGTGGATGTTGTTACATTTATATTCAGACAGTTGAACCTGCATTTAAAAACAGGACTGTTTGTTAGACGCCTCCTTCCTTTTCAGCCAATCACACGAGAGTAGATTAAAGGGTCACATTTGTTATCACAATAAGACAACAAGAAACATTTGTGATAATTTGTTTAATTCTTAATTAAATTTATAGTTCTTATGTAGCCCCTCCCCTCAGAAGGCAGAGCATCCTGAGGGGAGGGGCTAAAAAAAGAGAAATGTCCAAAATGAGGAAGACAGCAGCTCACATCCAAACGTTTCCAACACACACACCATCACATACAATCACAACAAGCATTGTGCTGCTTGAGTATACTTCAGTGTGAGAACCTTTCAGACAGAAGCAGTCATTAGCTGAGAACTGCTGTTGAAGTTTCTCTGAGTACAGTTGTTTAGCATCTCTCTCCTCATGGCTGAACCTGTGCTGAGACTCTGTAAACCTGTCCTTGTCTCCTCTCCTAAACGCTTCCTCCTTTCACAACCTTCAGAGTGATTTATTCTTGCTGCATCCGTGAGGGGTCTCCAGTGTTTCCCACCAGTGGCTGGAACACGATGCTGCTAACTACTACTGATGATAACAACATGTTATATTGATTATTATCAGGCAGTAAATGGAGGGGACAGGATGCATACGTGGGTCACAGAGGTCACTGTGGATGGGCCGGGCCACTAGCTTCCCGTCCATAGCACAGGTTCTACACTAAACCTCTCTCTCAGGCTGGTTGTCTTACTTCTATGTGCTCTGTAGGATGTCATCTGTCTGTTACTCACTACAAAGTCTCAAATGAATCCACTGACAACAACATGAACAAAATGACTACTGTCTTGTTTCTTTGACACGTTTCTGATGGGAAAGACTGTCATGACTCGCTGGGCGCATCTACCCACAATGCCTTGTAGGAAGACCCGCCCCCTCCTCTGCCTCCGATTGGCTACACCCTTCCAGTCGTTACAGGTGTCTGCTATGCTAACGTTAGCCTAGCTAAGGCGGAAGGAGAGTGAGCTTATTATTTGTTCCAGTAGTCCAAAGGTAGGCGACCCGGTCCGAAGATACCAGAGGGCTGAGCACCAACGCAGCAGAGAAACACAACAAGGTTTTCTATAAGTTTCGTATAATATTTCATCATTAAATTCACCTCTGAGCATCTTTAACTGTGTAGTTGAGAATATTGGCAGCGTGACTGCTCGTTTATCCAGATATTTAGTCAGCTTTTATCAATTTCACTCAAATAATCAGTAAATATAAATCAATCTCCCTCAGAGGATTAGTAAATACAAATCAAGTTCACTCAGATATTGAGTAAATCAAAAGTACTTTTGCTCAGATCCTTAGTAAATATAAATCAGTTTTGCTTGAGAAATTGATTTGGATATACTTATTATTTTAGTTTAAATTTTGTGAATTTATTCAATATTTTTTTATCAAATTTGTAGATCTTAAAATCTATTTAATTATATTAAGTGTCACTTTATTACCATCATTGTTGTAATATATGTGTATGTATCAGGGACGTGCGGTCACTGGAGGCAGATTCTCACCTGCCATCATGAAAATTAAAAAAACATAATGATAAAATAAAATAAATATTAATATTTCTCTACTGATCTGTGTTATAAATGTAACTTCTGTATGATTCCAATCATTTCAAGCATTTTTATAATCAACATCGCTGACTTTGCGCACGTCCTGTTCAAACAGAGAGGAGACGCGAGCTGTGCGTCATCTCTGATTGTGCAATCCCTCACAAACTGGGTTGAGCGGGTGCCTTTTGCTCTCTCATTGTTTGTCACCACTGTACTATTTGTAGACGCTTTTATTACACAGTATGTCCTTTCTTTCCATAGAACAGGTCATGTATTTCACGTATGTGTAGAACCTAGTTAGTCTTGCTGATCTGACAGAAACCGCAGAGAAAGAGCACAGAGGGGAGGCCAACAGTACCTCTGCCTCACTGAAGGGGGCGCGCGAGAGTATGTTTGACGGACCCGCGCTGAAGTCGCGTCAAGCTGCACAGAGCAGATCGACCCAGACAGGAAGTCACTGGTATGTATATGTAGCTATATATATATGTAAATATGATTATATATATATATAAATATGATTATTTTAAATGAAAACAAAAAAAGCAGGGTTATCATATTTGGTTTGATCATAAAAATATGTGTGTATGTGTGTGTGCGTGTGTGTGTATGTATGTGTGTGTTTGTGTGTGTTTGTGTGTACGTGCGTGTATGCGTGTGTGTGTGTTTATGTGTGTTTTTGTGTGCGTGTGTTTGTGTCTGTGTATGTATGTGTGTGTGTATGTGTGTGTGCGTATGTGTTTGTGTGCCTGTGTGTAAGTGTGGGTGTGTGTTTGTCTGTGCATGTGTCTGTGTGAGTGTGTGTGTGTGTGTGTTCTCTGATTTAAAGATAAAACAGTAATATTGTAATAAAACACATCATCTCTAAAAGAGTGCTACCTGAGCTCCACAACAACAGCAGCAGCATCAACAGGTGATCCATGACGTCCAGGTAGACCGTCTCTGTCCCGTCTCTCTGTCCGTCTCTCTGTCCGTCTCTCTCCCGTCTCTCTCAGTCTCTCTGCCCGTCTCTCTCCCACCTGAGTGTCTAAGTGTCTGTGTGCTGTCCTCGGTGTATATCTGCGTACAGGAAGAGGTGGAGCTTTACTGATGGCTTATCTGTCTTTAGTTTTACAGAGAAGAGTTTCTGTCACATGATCAGCTTCTTCTGTCCACCATGTTTCCAGTGTGACCAGTGGATCAGACACTTCTTCACTCTGGTCTCTTGGTTCTCTTTGGTCTGTTTAGTTATTGTCCTGTACAGCATGTGGGCTCATGGAAGTAGTATAGAACCATAGAACTATAGATCTATAGAGCTAGAGAAATATAGGAAAGAGTTAGATTCTCTTTATAGTTGTTTTAAAACTTTTGTTGTTGTTTGAGTCTCTTTGTAGTTGGTTCACGTCTCTTTGTAGCTGTTTAACATCTGTTTGTGGTTTTCTTTTAACTTGTGTGGTTGTTTAAGTCTCTTTATAGGTTTACGTTTCGTTGTCGTTGTTTCACGTTTCAAACGTCTCTTTGGAGTCGTTTTAAAACTTTTGTTGTTTTGAGTCTCTTTGTGGTTGTTTTAAAACTGTGTGTTTCTAACTTTCGTGGTTGAATTGAGTCTCTCTGTAGATGTTTTAAAACGTATGTTGTTGTGAGTCTCTTTATTGTAGGTTTAGGTCTCTTTGTGGTTGTCTTGTGTCTCTTCTTGTTTCTTTGTGGTTGTTTTGAGTGTCTTTGTGGTTGTTTTACATCTCGTGGTTGTTTTAAAGCTTTTGTGGTTGTTTGGAGTCTCTCTGTAGTTGTATTATGTCTCTTTGTAGTCATTTTGTAACACTTTGTTTTTGTTTTGAGTCTCTTTGTAGTCATTTTATGTCTCTTTGGCAGTGGCGGGCCGTGCATTTTATACCTGGGCCTTCTGTGCTGTCCTACTACACTTGAGCCATCTCCTAATAAACTCATTATGACGACACAGCTGTGGTTATTTGTTTCTAGGGGTGTAATAATACACATATTTATATTAAACCGTTCGGTACGAGGCTTACGAACCGAACAATACGTTTGAATAATACTACTGCATTTGGAAAATGCAGAAGCTTAAATTGTGGGAAATATAATGTTTTCGGTGGACTGCGCTCACGTAACAGACAACGACCTTTTGAACCCGGAACAATAACAAAAACAGCTGAGGCCCCGCGTGTGTTCAGGGAGGCTAAGCTAACTAGCTTAGCGGGGAAACAACAGCAGTCAGCTGTTCCCTACTGATTCAAACAGAGAATCAAATGTCTGAAATAACCCCGCGATGACGGGATGCTTCGTCATTAACGGACAAGTCAGAATCAATGTGATTACCCAGCAACACTGCAGCGCTAGAGCACGAGCCATTCATATTATTCATAAAAACTACACGATAGACAAACGAACACAGTAGTAACGCTACTGCAGATGTAAAAACAAAAGCAGTTCACTAACCACAGCTGCCTTCACTTAAAGACAAAGTCCGTCCTCCTTCTTTGTTAACAAAGTCAGTAACTCCTAAATCCATTTCTCCTCCTTCAGCCATTGAGTGTTAAAAAAACAAAGAATCTACACCAAGCAAAACGCTAAAAATGTCATAACTTCTCTTACATATGTTTCAACCTGAACTCTTACTAAACACTAAGATCTGCTAGCTAGCTTTCTGTTTGACAGAAGTCACGCTGGCCCACTGACCAATCACGGCGCACGTTAATGCAGACGTGCTTAGCAGGCTACCTCGGTACCTCTGGCCGGTCAAGGAATACGCCCAACATGTCAAACTAAAGATCTGATTGGTTGAAGACTATGACAATCAACAATATCGTCCCCATTTACTTTAATCTGCAAAGTCTACCTAGAGGACCTCGGGCCTCTCTTCTATAGAGACAGCATAGAGGTGAGATCTGATTGGATGAAAGCTCTCCTTGAAACAAGCTGTGTTGGAAGCAGAGCAACAGAGGAAGACAGGAGCTGTGCAATGACAAAATAAGATAATGGGAAAAATAATTACAATACATGTAGTGTATTTGTGAAAAATGATTAAATTATGAAATATCTATAACTTTGTGATTCTGTTTAGGCCAGCAGAGAAGGCTTAGCTGGTCCTGACGGCCCACCACTGCTCTTTGGGGTTGTTTTTTAACTTTTTGTGGTTGTTTGGAGTCTCTCTGTAGTTGCATTATGTCTCTTTGTAGTCATTCTAAAACGTTTGTTGTTGTTTTAGTC